ATGGACCAATCCGGACCTGCCACGTGTCCACCACGTGGGCCAATCAACGTCCGCCATTTGTCACCCTAAGAGGTCCAACATGGACTAATCAGGCCACGCCACGTGGCCTCCCATATGCCAAATAGGCAAAATGGCCACCAAGGCCCAAAGTCCGAGAGAAGCCCAATTTGCCCTGGTTAACCTAAACCTAAAATTGGCACGCTTCTCAAGACTATAAATACTTAATTAATCCTCATTAAAGGGGATTCAGCAATTGATGACTCTCACCTAGAGAAGTCTAAACACATTGATCACTCCTCCCCTAGAGGAACCAGATCTCCCACCTTTACTTTCCGCATTTATTACTCCTCAAACAAGTACTAACTTGACCGTTGGAGGCGGAGCTCCCACCACAAGGAGTCTCCGTTGTTTTGCAGGTACAGGCGCAAGGATACCAGTCCCGGAATTGTAACTCTCCCGCAGGACATCAGAAAACCCCGAAACATAAGTGTATGAATAATTATGAATATTTGATTAAATTCTACAAAATATTACATCAAAGCTTTATTTGGCTACATTCCATTATATCTAAATGAGGTATTATATTATAAAAAAATATAAGTTTGAGAATTGTACAACTTGCTTAAACTACAATATTTCCCTTTTTAGTTTCTAATACATAACCCTTAGGGCTATGTTTATCATTTTTCTTTTTTAAATGCATTACTATGACTTTTGTATTATTCATATACCATGTTTGACTTAAATTTTTAACTATTTTTAAAATAAATAAATGTTACTCGTGCAATGAAATTATAGAAACCAGTTATTTAATTCTCTCGCCTCTCCTGTTCTCTCCTCCTCTCTTCTAGGATTTCTCCAAAATCTTGGTCGTTTAGGCCGAAAATAGTCTAATTTCTTCATAAACCAAACTATTTCTGACCCTTTTCCCTTAATTTTCTTTAGTTTTACAATTTAGGTTTCAATAAATCTACACGAGTAGTGTAGATATTTGTCCGTCTCCCTATGGTGGAGTCGTTAGTTTTTGTTAGTTTAGTTGTTTGTTTATGTTTAGGGTTTGTTTGTGTGTTAGGGTTAATAAAAAAGGTAATCATTTTGCCCTATTGTCAGTTCGTTGGTAAAGATTTGTTCGGTACCGCAACGGTTGTCAAGTTTTCAAATGCGTTCAAGCGAATCAGATGAAAATCTTACTTACGGCTACAACAAATCGTTAGACCGTCTCTCAGGAAAGGCTGTATATTCCAGCTATGTGTGCGAGAGATGTACCACAATGCAAGATCTTTTCAACGATCGTAGCTTTGATCAAGGAAACCCTAATTTGATTCATTGTTATGTATTTGTTAATTTAGATTTCATTTGTACATGCTGGATGGCTTTTTATTAATAAATTAATTTGTTTCAAAAATAAAAAAAAATGTTACTTGTATTATATAATAAATATAATATATCATTAGATTAATCACAATGTCTATTTTTATAATTTAATTTTGTTATAGTTTTTACTAATAATAATTAAAGATATGAATGGTCAAACTTATATCTCGACAAATATGCCTGTTAAATTGGTGCATTAAAAAAAAAGTATTAATGAGAAAATTCAAATTATTTGTGAGATAAACTTTTAAACATATATTTTCTCATAATATAATGCTCTTAGTTTTTTTCAATTTTATACTCCTACTAGTAAGGCACTAAGCCCTACTTCTTCCTTTATAAAATCTTAAACACGGTTTGTCTTAAGTATGTTTGAAAGTTGGTGTTCACTTTCCCTTCTTTATTTCAACTCTCTTAGCTTGTTCTCTCTTATTCTCTCTTATTCTCTCTCATCCGTATTAAACTTTTTTCTAATCTAATCAAATCAATTCCAACAAAGTGCTACGATTGTTGCAAAGGTATCCATTTATATTTGACAAAAATTGTCACATGTACATACATGATACATATAGTCACCGTGAATTATTGGCAAATTTCTTTGTTTTTCATTTGTTTTTTTTTTTCTTGTTTTTGTGTATATTTCAAGAAATGAAGTCGGTGTTCTATCACCATGCAAGATATTTTTCCTCCACTTCTTCTCCTAGAAGGTATGCCATCATATTTAGCTTTTCGCGTTTATGTTTTCGTTAATGTGTAGACAGACACACAAAGGGCAATCACATAAACGGAATTTGATCTACTGTTTATTATGTACATGCCCCACGCATTCAAACCCTGCAAATAAAGGTCTTTTTCTTGAAAATGACTACAGTATTATCTTCAAGCAAATCAAGTTGAAGGTACTCCGTACGTAATAAAATAGAAAATGATGCGAGTAAGGTTAACTTTGATACCTGATGATTAATAAAGTGTTTGTTCCTTAAACTTTAGAATAGTAGGAGCAATTGAAATTGATGTTAGAGTTCAAACTTTAATTGAGGATGAATAGTCTTATTAGGCTTTTTGGAAATGGTGTGAGTCTTACTTTATTTAATTTGTTGTTGGCTTTTATTTATTTTATTTTACAAAAATGATTAGTTGTTAGTTGGTAACTAATTTTCTTGTCATTATTGTAATTTGAGAGTTTTTAATCAGTCGTTAGCCTGGCCATTCAGAAATATGTATTAATGATACTCGTAAGTAGTACTGTCAAAACGGTTTGAGAGTTCGGTTTTAGTTCGGTTTGAAATCGGGTCGGTTTGAAATCGGTTTAAATGTCTAACGGGTCGGTTTCAGTTCTGTTTAAATAATTATTGATTCGATTCGGTTTCGGTTTATTTTTGAACGGTTTAAATTCGGTTCGGGTTGTAAACAGTACAGGTAGTAAACGGTGCGGTGCAGACGGGTTGCGGTTTGTGAACGGTTCGGTGTAAACGGTTTTTATCCCGGTTTAAATTCGGTTCGGGTTGTAAACGGTCCGGGTTGTAAATGGGTCGGGGTAGTAAACGGTTCGGTGCAGACGGGTTGCGGTTTGTTAACGGTTCGGTGTAAATAGTTTTTATCCCGGTTCAAACAGTTTCGGGTTAGAAACGGTTTGGTTCTTTTTTGGTTCAGTTTTATTTTAATTCGGTTTATAACTAGTTCGGTTCGTTAACGGGTTCGGTTCTTCTGCGATTTAACATTATTTGGATCGGTTTTATTTCAGGTTTACTAAATTACGGTTCGGGTCTATTTTTGATTTTAAAAAATCGGTTTTTTTATCGAGTCATTTTGATTCGGGCAATTAAACAGTTTTGGTTTGAAATTTTATACTACTTTCTAACTTTTTGCTGGTTAACAAGTTTTATATCAAGCCGAGACTTCATCACTTCATATTGAGGCATCATATTATATGCAAATTCTCATTAATTTTATAAATACATATCATGTTATGTTTCAAATTTAGCCATACTAATCTTACTAGTTTATTACGAAGTAGATTATAAAAGTTTAGTGCATTAATATATTATTGTTTTACTATCAGATTATTATCTACTTTTTATTTGATCATTTGGTTACTACTATCATAATCATGATTTGGTGAGTTGTTGTAAATTGTTTGTAAACGGTTCGATTTATAAGCGATTCGGTTCATAAACAGTTCGGTTTATAAGCGGTTCGGTTTATAAACGGTTCGGTTTATAAATGGTTCGATGCAAACTGTTTGCAGTTTGTTAACGGTTCGGTGTAAACGGTTTTTATGCCAGTTCAAACGGTTTCGGGTTAGAAACGGTTCGGTTTATTTTCGGTTCGGTTTCCTTTCAGTTCAGTTTAGATTTGGTTCGGTTCTTAAACGGTTTAACATTACTCGGATCGGTTCGGTTTCGAGTTTACTAAAATGCGGTTCGGGTCGGTTTTCGGTTTAAAAAAATCGGTTTTTAATCGGTTTGGTTCTCATTCGGATCGGTTTGAATCGATTCGGTTCGGTTTTTTACAGTACTACTCGTAGGGTTGGATGATAATGGTAAGGGAAAAAACGTTGAAAAGTCTTTGTCAATAATTGATCTTGCCCATCGGTGTTTAAGCCTCCTAAGCTACTTCTACAATATTGTACCAATATGGCCATAAAGATATCAATGACGACTTGTTATTGTTCTAAAGAATATTTAGAAGCTCTCAATGAAACGTGGAAAGGACTCTAAAAGAGGGTGACCTTGCATCATTTCCTTTTCAAATACTTCGTATTTATCTATAACTTCTATTTCCTCAATTTCTTTTTAATTGACATATTTTGAGTTCAGCATTAATCACAAAATCCCCTTTGATCGTATTTTGTGATCTATACATATTGAAATTACAATCGTCTGGGGTATTCCTGGTTTACCACTTAACCACAACACTTCTATTTGCTGTTAATCATAATACTAATTTCTATATAAGGTATTCCCGTTTTTAAGCTCCAAGCAATTTTGGGCCCTGTGCGGTTTAAGAGTCGAGCTTATACATATGTCAACATTCTTTCAATTTGCACTTATGGGGGTGTGTATTTGGCTACCCTGGACCATATTCATCAATAATCCTGTTGAGTAAAAAGAATGTCATTTTTCTATATATTTTTTTTCTTGCCCTGTTTCAAAAAGTAGGCTTGAGGGTAAGATTGCTCTAATTACTGGTGGTGCAAGTGGAATTGGCAAGGCAACTGCTCAAGAGTTCATCAAACAAGGAGCACATGTCTTCATTGCTGATATAAATGATAAACTAGGCCCGAAAGCTGCCGTTGATTTAGGCTCAAAAGCACAATTTGTCCAATGCGATGTTAGTGTTGAGGCCCAAGTAGCCCAAGCAGTAGACACCGTGATCACCCACCACAGAAAACTCGACATCATGTACAACAATGCAGGCATAATAGGCCAATACTATCCACCTAGCATTACCAACCTCGACTTAGATCAATTTGACCAAGTCATGCGGGTCAATGTCCGAGCAGTGGCGGACCCAGGAATTTCCGACTGGTGAGTCACAATTGATAACCAAATATGTAAAAAGAAAAAATTTACCAAAATTCCCAAGAAAAATTATTTACAAAGATCATCCAAATAGAAAATTGACAAGATTACAGTACTAACTAATAATTAACAAGCTTAAAATTGACAAGACTAAAATTAACAAACTAATAATTAACAAGCTAATAATTGACAACATGACAAGCTTAGCTCTCTAATAATTAACAAACTAATAATTGACAAGATTAAAATTTGTACAAGCATTAGGTTCACATTTCATCAAAAACCCAACAACATTAACAAAAGGTTCAAAGTTAGTATTTTTTTTTTAAAAAAAAAACTTAGAAAATAATTTATTTATTTTTTTTTTTTAAAACATAAAAAATATTTTGGGCCCTGGTGAGTCATTTGACCCACCAGGCATAAGGCCAAGTCCGCCAATGTGTCCGAGGCACGCTAGCAGGGGTCAAGCATGCAGCTAGGGTCATGAAGCCAGTGGGTTCAGGTTCAATCCTTTGCACCGCGAGCATAACTGGGATTTTAGGCGGATTTGGACCACACCCGTATTCCATATCAAAGTTTACAATACCCGGGTTAGTAAGGTCATTGGCTAGTGAACTATGCAAATATGGGGTTAGGATTAATTGCATATCCCCAAGTACAGTTGCAACTCCATTGGTAATGGAAAATTTTAAGAAAATATATCCAAAGGCAACAAATGAACAAATAAAAGAAATAATTGGTGGATTAGAGGAATTTAGTGGGACTCAATGTGAAGAAATTGATATTGCAAAAGCAGCTTTGTATTTGGGCTCTGATGATGCTAAGTATGTGACTGGCCATAATCTTGCTGTGGATGGTGGCACCACTTGTTTTAAGTCTCTTACTTTACCATCTCCTGATCAATTTGTGTAATAACTTAATAAAAGCATCATTGTTATTTTAGTAATTGAATCTCTATTTTTGTATAATGTTTCTATTTTGACATACTTTTGTGTATCACAATAATTAAATAGGCAAGTGTTAATAAGAAGTTTATATCAACAAGAGGTTTAAATATAATCTATTCTTGACTTCTCTACTATTCACCTAAACAGATTAGAAATACTTTAAATATAATGATTTTGACCTTTTCTATTATTCACATTCTGTGCATTATCTATTTTTAGTAATTTTACTTGTGAAAAAAAGGTAATCATGTAGAGTTTGTTGTATACATATGTGGCAATGCATATTTTAGATATTGCGAGTAAATTTTTAGTTATAATTTAAATTACTAATGATGAAATATATTAATTGTGGGATTTATTCGTTGGCAATCGTAAAACTCAAAAGACTTCATCTAAAAATATACTAAGAAGTTTAAACTAGAGTTGATCACGATCAACCAGGCCAACCTAGAAAATGCTCGGGGTAGGGTATAATTTTTGGGCACCGCTATTACTGGTCCAAAATAGCAGTTTTATAACAGATTTGTGCACAAGTTTTTTTGTCTGAACTTGGGCTCGACTTAAGATGTGGGCTATTATGGACCAACTTTTTTCGTTAAAGTCTGGGCTGGACTAACCTGAAGTCAAGTCTAGTTTAACATCTCTTTTAGTCTTTTATATGCATTTTGGGGCTAAATAGTTAAGAAATTGTATCATCATGCACAATGTATAAACATTCAAAAGGACTATTAGGATTACAACTATCCAACCGATGATGAACGGTTCGAACGATCCTGTTTCACTAGGCGAAAATACGAATTCCCCACCGGTTCAAACCCCCCTTTTCGCACCGGTTTTGAACTGGGCCGGATTTGGGGGTGCTAAAATCCCATAGATTTCGCACCAGTTCAAAACCGGTGGGAAAAATGACTTTTCGCACCGGTTCTGGGTGAGAACCGGTGCAAAAAACCACACTTTTAGCACCGGTTCTTACTATGATCTGGTGCGAAAAGTGGCAAAAAAAAAATTTAAATAACTTTTAGCACCGGTTCTATTCCAAAACCGGTGCCAAAAATGCCCAAAAAACTAATTTTTTTTTTTTTTTTTTGCATTTTTTTCACTTAAATTGATATATAAACACTAACATATATATAAAGTTACATATTTTCATTAAAATAGGCTGTAATATTACAATTTTCGTCCAAAAAAATAAAATATAAATCAAAAGAAAATACAAGGTTATAGCTTCCTAAACACATACGGCAACTCAGCAACACAGCAGCATTGCAGCAGGTGGCAGCAGCCCCCAACAAAATAGGCCAACAGGTGGCAACAGCCCAACCTGCAGAAAACATTACGCACCAGCAGCAGCTACACCAAAAGAAAAACAGCAACACCCCAGCAATAGGCAACTCAACAACAGCAGCAGCAGCAGCTTCAAAAGCCCAAGAAGAACAGCACTAAACCCCACACAGGCCACAAGCACAGCAGCACCCTGAAGCCAAAAACAGGCAGCAGCCAACCCAACACCAAACAACAACAACAAAACAGGGGAACCAGCAACAAAAAGCAGCTGATCAGCCATTACCAGTTCAACACTGAAACCAAAACCAGTAGCAGCAGGGAACCAGCAGCAGCCATGAGCCGGCCATTATACTATCAATTTTTTCAATAGCCCCACTAAAAAATATAAAGTATCAATCCTATAAATCTTAAAAATGCAAAACAAATGAAGAGATTCAGACATTAGCACCATTCATAAAAATGGAGACAGCCTCAACATCCCATTAAAGAATATAGAACACTTGAGGGAGATTAGGGGAAAATATTACAATTTTTGCATATCTAGACGATCTTTTGATGAGATCAAGTAGTACAAGTGTACAACATACACAACACGAACCAACTATTTAGCTCAAATATACATCTTAGGAAACATGTATTCCCAATTCAAGGATAAACTTTAAGGACTTGCATCAAAATCAACATATGTAAAATAGTACCTGTCCTCGACTAAGCATTTCGGATTTCTTCAATTTTTTCATGGCATATATATTTCCAGATTTCTTTTCCATGACATATAATCCCATATATTAGAAAGTATGGGAAAAACAAGCCAAATGCAAAAGAATTTTTACACAAAAATGATACCTTCATCATCAATTTTCAAGCCTTTTTTGACATGGTCAAATTCAGCTAGAGCTTTTTTGGTATCAAGTTCATTAGGATTCTGCATAAGGATACCAGAAATGTCAGTGTAGGGTTTAATGGTGACTATGGACGATATGAGTAACTTAAAAACAAGCAAGTAGAACATAATCAATACTCTAGTTAATTACCTGGATCGTTATGAGATCATCTCTGGTAAATGGTTCATCTGTTAGCAGCTCCTTCCAATTCTTTGTTTTAATATTCAACTCTTTGATTGTCTATACAAGAAAATGCACAAAAATTAAGGTCAGTAGGTAGCTACTGTGAACATGGGTATCATTAGAAGCAACAATATCTCTGTGCTACAGTGATTTCTCTATGGACTATACCCATCTAAACCCTGAAAATTTTGGTAAAATAGACGTCTTATGCCTTGTCTAAGAATATGTAACAATTATTTCTAATGATTGTGTTTATATGCAGGGAGAGAAAAGAACCAACCTCATAACAGAACACACTTCCTCTCCTCACTCCTTTCCATCCCATACAAACTACACAAGTAGTAAACAATTCGTATAAATAAGAAACCCTTCAAAATCATAAGTCAGTCAACATTCTCTATTCCTAAACCAACAATAAACCCTACTTACCATGATGGAAATAGCTGATCAATGCTTCAAGGAAAACAAACTTTAAGTGCCGATGGCTTTCCCCCAACACCCGGCAATGAGCAGTGATCAGAATATGAAATGCATGATAATCCCAGTTTGAAATTACCATGGAACGGTAATGGAATACACACTAATCTAATCTATGCCTAGATAATTTAGTCTCATTCATGTTGAAACAATAAAAACAAGCAAAAAAAAAAAAAAAAAAAAAAAAAAAAAAAAAAAGGAAAAGGCATAGTAATTTAAAAAAAAAAAATTTTATACCTTCGGAATTCTTGTGGAACGCAAGAGGAATAAGATCCGCAAGCTTAAGTGGAGCTCCAGTAACTAGGTTTTTCCCATACTTTCTAATATATGGGATTATATGCCTATCACCCAATAAACTCAAACCAATTAAACCATTTATAAGTCATGGATAATCTGGAAAAGAAATTTGGAAATATAATCTGCAGTCGAGAAGGCAAACCATTTATAAGTCAATAACTGGATCTAACACCCAAAAATGCTCCAGACCAGGGGAGAGAGAGAGATGGACACAGAACACTGCAAAAGCACCACATCAAAATGGCAACGGAAAATCTACTTAATCACATGCAGAACTACTGTCTTATGGTAAAGACTGTTGGTTCATTAGAATCTACTTATTCTCGTGAAGGGGCTGGTCTCAGTTAATGTACCAAAAATTTCAGAAAATGTAAATAATCACAATACTAATCCAAAACAGAAAGTACAGAAGCATTCATGAAGTAAAACAACTCATAAACAACTCCTCATTCTTCAATCAAGTGAGACGCATAACTGTCAATATTATTGCCTAATTATATATTTGTCCTTAACCAATGACAAGGAACTTACATTGAGCGAAGTCGAGTCAAGTTTCCAATACTAGAAGATAGGGTCCCTGTCTCTGTCCGGATAAGTTTCCCTGTAATTGTCAGTAACAAAATTCATAAATAATACTACCATGCAGAGAGAGAGGGCTCATCTCCTCAAAGACGGTAAGATACTGATTGAAATTCACACAAACATAATATTAAGAAATTGAACAAAGAAACCTCTCAGTATGAATCCACTGAGCTGCTGAGGTATCAAGAGGTTCATATGTACAAATATTTACCCTTAACTAACCAGTGCCCATTGAATATTTAAGTCAAGCACTATCAAGCTTATGCCTTACTGGCCTAAAACTCTAAAAGAGTATTTCAAGCACAAATGTCCAAGAAAAAACTTGACCACAAGGCATAAGCCACTACAAATTCTTCTGTTTCCCTAAAGCAATACTAAACATGTTCTCATGGTCTCTAATCAGCACTCAACACATTCCGGCAATAATCAACAGGGCTGTTTATGTTGAAGCATGTCAAAAAGAATCATTTAAAAAACATTGAGCTAAAAAAGGAAAAAAAAAAAAAAGAAATTAAAAACAGTAAAGCAAATTTGCGCTTCAACTTTTAAAAGTACTTCTGGCTTTCATCTAGCAATATATATGGCTAAAAAGTAAAATTTTGAGAACCTCATTTCTCCATTGACACTGTTGAATATGTTCAAACACCCCAGATATGTAATAATATGAAGATTTACAATAAATGAGAAGCCACTAAGAGATACACGCACACACACACACAAAACACAAAAAAAAAAAAAAAAAAAAAAAAAAAAAAAAAAGAATCGAGTTGTGAGTTCTAGAAAATGGAAGGGAAATAAACTAGCAGCACAAACAACAACAGCAGGTAACGACAACAACATTAACTAGCAGCACAAACAACAGCAGCACGCGCAGAAGTAGCAGGAACTAAATAGTTATATATCATGTCCATAAAACAACGACTCCTTAAGAAACACATTTCAAGTCAAGAACACCTGATTTGGCTATATTCCACCCTACTATCGTTCTCCCTTTTCAAGGGGTAAGGCAGGGGAAAAAAGCAAGATATCAAATGCAGGCAAAGTAAGAGAATCACAGCCAAGACCACATTATTAGATACTTTTGAGATTATTTGGCAGAGCAAGCAACACCATTCTGAAGTTAATATCCAAAGTAAAGATTAGGAAGATACATCACACTTGCCTAAACAACATGCTTATTCACCAAGTCGACTTCATATGGCAAAATCATATGGAAGATACCTTAATTTGCCAAAGATGGTTAACAGCAACCTAACAATGAAGAAAGGAAAAAAAAGTCATTCAAATCAAAAACTAGTAAACGCTCAAGAAATCCTAAGCATAAATCAAGACTACCTCACTTTGCCTTCACGAACCTGCAATATGAGAGCCAGGGCTTAAAGGAGATAAATTAATTACAACAATTGCATAGTTCAAGCACATTACATTTTTTATTTTATTTGCTTGATTTGACCCCCGACGCTCAATCTCTCGTACAAGTCTCTCGTACATTTTTTAATTGTATATTTTACTTGGTTAACCCTTATTAACCCTTACCTAAACAGATCCTATCTTAGCTTATCAATACTATTTAATCCTTATATGAACTTAACACAACTATTGTGGATTTAAAGTTAGCAGAACAAGGCCTAGGTCTATAAACGGTAGGGCAAAAATAAACATAGCATAGGTCCACCAAAATGAAGGAAAACCAAATTACTCTAAATTCAATCATTTGAAAAGCTTTTGATAACCAAACTACCTACAACCTATCACAAAGTAAACCCTTTAACTATTTTACAAGATCTATTTCAAAATTCATATCCTACATGATATCAACTATTTGATAAATTTTGGTCGATCCATGGCTAAAAATTTATGGGTAAAACAATCTGTGGAAGAAATTTATCTTTATTAAAAGCAAACATTTACTAAAAAGCATACAAGCAGATATGAAACTACATCTGCCAGGAAGGATGATAGAGCATGCAAGTTTACAGCAGTTCAACAAAGATCATGCACACACACACACACACATACAAGGGGGGGGGGGGGAGGTAAAAAGAGAGATTTCTGATCAAATATATCAGAAACCTGATCAAAATGCAATATCAGAAACCTGAAAAACAACACCATTTTTACCTAATTAAGAACTATCACAAAGTCATATAGTAACAATTCTATGCTCAATCGTGACACACAAAGCTAACAGAAAATTAGCTAAAATTTCTCGAATTATCCCAAATTTTCCTCACAATTAAAAACCCTTAATCTCGAATCACAGAAAAAATAACTTAATTAGTAGAAATCAAACTGAATTGAAGAAAAAATCATACTTAAATAAGCAAGCAGCAATTAAAGATTAATAAATTCAACCAATTAAGGAGAGAGAAATTCGAGTATGAGAATGAAGTAGAGCTAAATTTGCAGTGTTATATTGAAAAATCCAGAAAAAAGAATCAGTATGACAAAAACAATAGAGATTTACCAATTGGATGAGTGAGAAAATAATCACCACCAGCACCCACCTTGTAACCACCCTCTCACCGCCATGAATATCTGAAACCCCACCACAACCACCCAAAAGCCACCCAACCAACTCGCACCACCACCAATTAAAGCCCCACGTCACAAGCGACCACCAACAAACCCACCCAACCAACTCGCACGTCCACCAGCGACCAGCCGACCACCTAACCACCTCCAACAAACTGAAACCCCAACTAACTCGCATGACCACCACCGACCAGACGACCACCAAGGAACCCACCCAACCAACTCGCACGACCACCAGCGAACCGAAACAACCACCTTGTTACCACCTCCAACAAATCGAAACCCCAACAAACCACCGCTAATTTAGATCTGAAACCCCAACTTACACACCACCAAGGAAACAAATCGAAATCCCACCTCACAACCACAAAAATCTGAGGACGGGGGGAGGAGAGAAAAGGAGATTATAGAGGGGATTGAGATGAAAGAGAAAAGCGGAGTAGGGTTTGAGATTATACAGGGGTTTGAGATGAAAGAGGGAGTGAGGGACTACGGAAAAAGGAAAAGTAAGATATTGGAGACTGTTTTTTTTTTTTTTTTTTTAACAATTGCTTTCGAACCGGTGCGAAAAGTCTTTTCCCCAATTCCGCCCCTTTCTTTTACCACCGATTTTCAAAAACCGGTGCAAAAAGTGCGGTGCTTTATTCATTTTTTCTACTAGTGTTTGACCAATCCAGTTATCCAGACATACATTTTGGATCGCGATTTTGATAACCTTGCCTATACCCCAATTCAAGCTATTTGGCCAATCTAGACATACAATTTGGATCTGAATTTGATACCCTTGTCTATACCACATCATTGACGAGGAAGTATAAACGAAGTGTTGATATGCATAAGGAAATGCATAACAACCAAACGAGCGTCGTTGAGATAGAATAGAAAACGGAGGGGGTCCTACACTACAATAAAAAAGAAGCACTTTAGCAAAATAAAAGGTAAATGCTTGTATTGGAGGGAAGTATAATACAATTGTATTATGCGAGTATCTTTTCCCCTTTTTAACTTTTTTTCCCCTTTTTACTTTTGTTTTTTCCCCTTTTATCTTTCTGTTACTGTCTTTTCCTCCTTTTACCTTTCTCTTACTTTTTCGTTTTGTTCTTTCTTAGTTGCTCTTGAATCTCCATCACCAACATCTTTACTTACCCAGAAATTGTTATTTGAAGACGAATTAATCTGTGAAAATGGCGAGGAAGATGTTGGTGATGGAAGATTCGTTGTTAACAACCGATGACGAAGATGGTGGTGATCGTTGTAACGGTTTTTTGGGCGGACTGCAACACAACTGCCATTGAAGACCCCGAAGACCCAGCTTCCATTGAAGACCTCAAAGACCCACTGATTGAAACTCGCGAGCAAGAAGATGACGACGAGCAGTGTTCTTTAGCCCTTGAAGCCTTGTTGAAGGAGGTAGTATGTGAACTAATTGTAATTTCGCGCGTTTAATTTTTAGGTTTTGATTTAATTGTTCTGAAAATTCAATAACTTGATTTAGTTTGAATATGTAGAGAGAAGGAGAGTAGGGGGGGAGAGAGAGAGAGAGAGAGAGAGAGAGAGAGAGAGAGAGAGAGTTGGGAATGGAGCATTGCCCTTGCTTATGTAGTAGTAAGGTTGGGGACAATTGTATGGAATAATGGTCCTGGTGGGGCTTGTGTTTGGGTGTGATGCTTTTCAGTATATTAAAATGAATATTACATCTGATTTTGTTGTTGTATGACATTGGGGGACAATTGTATAGTTTCACGGTGGTGGGTCTTATGTATTCTTGCTTTTCAGTGCTATGATTTATGCTTTTGTTGTTTTTGCCTATTGTTTTGTTGGTGTTGTTGGACAGTGATAATAGTGGACCTGATTTGCTTAATGCCAACACTGTTTAATTTGGTAGGTTTTGTAGTGTGTATTAGTGGTTTAGTATGTTAATTTATTTTTGAATTAGTTAGGTGGTGGAATATATTTGTGATATGCATTGATTTTATGAGGAAAAAGGTGAATGTTGGAGAAGAGTCCTACAAAACTCCTATTAAAGGAAAGAGTAGTGTGGCTATAAGTATTGAGATTGAAGAGTGTGCAAACGTTGAGGTATCTCTTCCTTCCCCCGTTGTTGGAATGGTATTTGAGAGTTGGCAAAAAAATTAGACACGTACTTTAGGAATTACGGAAAACAAGAAGGGTTTGGGGTTGTCCGTTCTAGTGGGGCGACACAAGGAAAAGGTGCAAATGCAAAGGAAAAGCGTAATATAACTTGGACTGTGAATGTTTTGGCTTGCCCGGTAGGAAGAGTAAGAAGTCCGGTTCCACTTTTATTTCAGATTCACAAATAAGTGACGAAGTTTGTGTGAAACGCAGGAGCAAAAAAGTTAGCTGCCCCGTGAAGTTTTATGCGAAGGTGAACGAGGTAGGTGAATGGGTAATTGATAAGGCAGTGGTAGAACATCAAGGTCACAAGCCCACACCGAGGAAGTCCAAAAACATCACCAAGTTCAGGCAGAAGTTCCTAATGGACAATCCTCACATTGTTCAACAACTTTTAAATGATCGGAAGGCGGGTGTACCTGTGGCTACCATATACAATTGTATGGCCCGACAAATAAATGGGAGGGAAGAGAGGCAATTTACCTAAAACGATTTGCATGCAATAGTTGCTAAGCAAAGAAAAGCTGTATTTGAGGGAGGTGATACGAAGGCAATGTTTGCTTACTTCAAGAGGATGACGGATGATAACTCAACTATTTATCATACTCGTCGTGTAAATGAGTTGGGTAGGCTCCAAGATGTATTATGGGTTGATGCGAGGAGTCGGGTCGCATATGAGGAGTTTGGAGACGTCGTTTGTTTTGATTCGACGTACTTGACCAATGAATATAAACTCCCCTTTTGTAATTTTGTGGGTGTAAATCATCACGGTCAAACGATATTGTTTGGATGTGCATTAGTTTCCCGCGAGATCGTGGAAACATTTGAGTGGGTCTTTTCTAATTGGTTGAGGTGTATGGGTGAAAAGCAACCAATTTGTATCCTAACGGATCAAGATCCGACGATGAGGAAAGCTTTAAAGGCAACTATGAAAGGAACCACTCATCAATGGTGTGTTTGGCACATCACACAAAAATTTTCCAAGAAGCTTGGCAAGCTTCCTAATTATGCCCAAATTCACGATGACCTTGAGAATGTCATTTATGACAGACATGATTGCGAAGAGTTTGAGTCAAATTGGCTCGAGGTTATCAAGAAGCATGAACTTGAAGACGATGAATGGCTGCAAGGTCTGCCTCCTAATCTCTCTATATAGCTTTAATTGGTTCATTAAATCATATATATATAGCATTAATTGTTGCATAGGATAGTTATACTGTCTGCTTCTGTTGCTGTTGCTTAGGAAAGCTTCTGGTTTTGTGCATACTTGTACAAGCTACTGATTGAAATTGGTGATTAGTCTTGTTAGTAGCTGCTGAAATATGTTAATTAGACAGCTGGAAAACATCTGCTACCTGACTAAACTCTTGAATTAACTTGGGTGCACTTGTTAAGCTTAACTGTATGCCCTAGAGTTATGAATTTATGTGTCTAATTGAGTGAATGCCTTAGATTTGAGCCTGAAATGAAGATCTATTTTCAGGTATGCTTGAAATGATTCAGTATATTTTTCTTGGTCTTTAGATGTAACTTGTTGAGATGTCCTTATGGTTATGCATGGACTGTGGTCAGCAACACCTGATTATTGCATGAACCAGCAAGATAATAGAAAACGGATGGTATAATTGTTCTTGGGATTTACAGTTGATTTGACTGGCAGTGTAATGAAATTTGACTGTTCAGTGGTCTGAATATTCTTGTTTTTTTAGCTTAGTTGTATTGAATGAGCCTTCAACAAATTTGATCTTTTGGTTTCATCTTTTGGTTTGTGTTGTGAATTTATGTGTGTTTCCTTCCTTCAATGTGATAGGTTTGTATGACGAACGTCATATGTGAATATTCTTGTTTTTTTTAGCTTAGTTGTATTGAATGAGCCTTCAACAAATTTGATCTTTTGGTTTCATCTTTTGGTTTGTGTTGTGAATTTATGTGTGTTTCCTTCCTTCAATGTGATAGGTTTGTATGATGAACGTCATATGTGGGTTCCCGCCTTTATGAAACATCTATTTTGGGCTGGAATGAAGACAACTCAGCGTGTGGAGAGTATTCATAGGTTTTTTGATGGGTATTTGAGCAAGCACACTTTGTTATTTGAGTTTGTGGAGAGGTATTATGATGCCTTGGAGGTTAGATTTACAAGTGAGAAAAAAGATGATGACAATAATGAGCGGTATGTGCATCAAGCTTACACGGACTTTCCAACTAAGTTGGTATTTCAGAAGATATATACGGATGCCAAATTTAAAGAGGTGCAAAGAGAGTGCAACCGTATAATATACGTTAGTGGGATTCATAGAAAACAGATTTCAGATTCATTAACCGAACATGTGTTGGAGGACCGAGTTTGGTACAAGCCAAAAGACTTTAACAAAGAAATTCCTTAAAAAAGAAAGAGGGAGTACAAGCTTGTAATTGATACTTCTACTTATGGAGTTAAGTGTAGTTGTTGGTACTTTGAATGTCATGGCATTATTTGTCACCACATCATAAAGGTGTTTGAGATGAGCAACTACTACGAGATACCTGACAAGTACATTCTTCAGAGGTGGAGAAAAGATGTGATTCAGAAGCACACAAGGGTGAAAGTTATTTACCGTGACCCAAGCAAAACCGAGGAGGTTTGTTGGTATGACAAGATGATGGTGAGATTTAGTAGTTTGTGTTCAAAAGCTTCGGGTCACATTGAGACTACTATAGTGGTGATGCAAGCACTGCAGTTAGTTGAGTTGCAAGTGGAGGAGAAGTTAGCAATGCTTGCAAAAAAAAAGTGGTCAAGGTGTAATTGGAACACCTTCATCTGTTTGTCTTGAGAAGGAAAAGGACTCAACTCCCTCAACTCAGAGACAGGGTAGCTGTGATGGTGTGCAAGAAGATGTTCCTGTGAAAGACCCACCCTTACCAAAGAGGCTTGCTCATCGCACCATGGATTCCAGGTACAAGTCATGTGTTAAGAAACCGAAGAAAAAGGCAAAGACGATGAAGAACACGTAAGGGAAGAATATGAGTAGTTCTAAAACCCAAACAACACCACCTGTAACAATTGGGTTAATCTTTAAAATTGCATTCATATTCCAAATTTTTTTGGTTATTAATACTTATTACTCTGTATCTGAGGCATACAACTCTAGTTTTGGTTATTGTTTTTGTAAAATATGATGCTTAGAGTTAGGTGCAATATTTAGAGCAGATTTAGATGTGTGCATCAGATTTAGTTGCTTCAGACTTGTTGTGGTTACATCAGATTTAGTTGCTTCAGTTGTAGGTGTGTGGTTGCAGGTGCATCAGATTAAGGTGCATCAGTTTGCTGCTGTGATTTTGTGCATGAGATTGCTATTTGACTTGTAGAATATTGGTGTGTCTAACTTGCTAAATATTGAGGTGATAGCAGGTGCACCAAATCTAGGCTAGTTTTTTATATTTTTGGGAATTAAGTTGCTGAATATTGAGATGATAGCAGATGTTAGATGATAGCTGTAACACCCCCAAATCTCTCCCTCTACGTAGATTGTAGAAAAATACGTATAAATACCGTAGAGATAGACTTGGGCGTATTACCGCCACGTATTACGCAAGGCTTATACTTTAAAAATACTTTTGCAGCGGAAAATTCTTTATTCTTATTAATAAAACTTTAAATAAAACTTGTTCATAATTTGTGACACAAAAACGACTCCAACTTTTCCTAAGCTAGATGAAATTCCTGTGGACTCCCGTATGCATCAATCAACTTCCACCTGAAACATTCACCTGCTTACCATAAATGGTAAATAGGGCAAGGCCAAAACAAAAGCACGTATTAGCAAATTATGCTAAGTAGATTATGTGTAAGATAAGTAAAACATAATTTAAATCATTTAAGTTTAATTCAAAGAATTCCAATGCCATACTCATGTAAGAGCTTTTCCAATTCAATGCTTTCAAGACAAGTTTAAAACTCAATCGATTACGTTCCAAAACCATTTCCTCACTAAGTGTGCACACCCCCCAAGTGGTTTACTTTATGAACAAAGGTCAATCTTGAGGAAAGGCGAGGTCATGCAAAGTCATAGCCTTCTCTAATTCATTCCCTAAGTGGGATTCATAACCATATCAATTGATTGCTTAAAAGCACCTTTTAAAAAAAATCCGTTATACTTGGACATCAATAAACTTGTAAATCATTTTTAATCCAATCCTTTTAATAATTTTAATCGCAATTCAAAGCCCCTTTGATTAACCAAAATCATTAATTTCAAGCCATCATAAAACACACTTTCATATAGTAAAACATAATTTCATACGGCACATAATTTCATAAGAACTATATTAAAACATAATTTCATAGTCAACTTTCGAAGGTATCAAACCACATAACGTACCTTAATTCTGAATATCAATCAACACTTCGCACTTTCAAAGTTCAATCACGAATACACCTTGCAATTAACATAACCATACGGTTATCACAACATCTTTAGACATAAACCCAAATCTAATGTGCATGGACTATAAAACTCTTTTAAAAATAATACTTTAATATAACATTATAACTGTGAAATAGGTAATTATATTTTAGAAAACTAACCATGAAGAAAATAAAGGAATAAGATTAAAGGAAATTGAATTTGCGTTGGAAAGGATAGGCAGAACTTGAAGAGGTCATAACTCCTTTGATATAACTCCAAATTGGGTGATTCTTGAGCCTCACCTCAAGGATTTGTCGAGAGAAATAATTTTTTGTGAAATAGAAAAATCCAAAAACTGACCAGAAGTTCTCGGAAATTGGCTCCAAAGATATACAGGCAAATTTTCTTTTAGAAAAGAGGAAAAGAAAAATAGGAAAAGTTTGAGGGGAAAGAAGAGTAAAAGAAAAGAAGGGAATCGAGTTTTTAGTGTGAAGAATATGAGAGGTATGAGGGGGGTATTTATAGGTGTTTAGGTGATGGGTTTATGACAATTTAGGGTTTATGATTTATGGAAGTTTTGAAGAATAGAAACTAGGGTTTTAAATGTATGGAAGGATATTTGTTTTATTTGATCATGAAATTTAATTTGGTAGGTTTTGAGCTTGGAGTGCAAGTATAGAATAGGATCAAATAATTTTTAGATTGAAGAATAGAAATAAGGAAATTTAAAGGATTTTATTTTTAATAAAATAAATTAAAAATCCTTTAGAAAATTCATGAGTGGCCGAAAATATTGAGCTAAATATTGTTCAATATTTTCAGTCCTCTTATGTTAGTTTAGAGATTTTGTAAAATAAGTTATTTGTCTAAAATTAATGATTCAATAAAGTTTATAATATTTGGAAGAATAAAAATCAATTTTCTTACTAAATTATTGGGGTGGTCGAAAATATGGCCTATAATTATTAATTAAATCATATTTTTATTATGTAAAATCAAAATACCATTTGATTAGTTTGGAAAATTATTTTATTTCATAAAAATAATTAGTTTAGCAAGATATTAAATAAAAATCAGATTTTTATTATGAAAAATCCGAAAATAACATTTAATTAGTTTAGAAAATTAATTTATTTCATGAAAATAATTTACTTAGAAGGATATCAAATAAAATCAGATTTTTATTTTGTAAAAATCCGAAAATAACATTTATTTAGTTTATTTTATGAAAATAAATAAAATTAGATTTTCATTATGAAAAATCCGAAAATATCATTAGTTTAGGAAATTAATGTTATTAATTAATTTATAGGTATATTTCCTAAAAATAATTAATTTGGAAAGGTATTAAAACAATTAAGAATTTTTTTTATATGAAATCCGAAAATACAATTTAATTAGTTTAAGGAAATTAATTTAATTAATTTATTTTAACCGAATTAATATAATTTCGGTTTATCTATTTAATTTTTGAGAAATCAAAAATACTATTTATAACATAGGTATAAAATAGTTTCATTTATTGGATTATCCATTTTAATTAGTTTTGTAAAATAATAAGACAAATGATTTAGGCGCCAAAATTTAAATATCATTTTGGCTCCAAAACTAAAATACTCTTTAGAAAAATAATTAATTTAGAAAAATACGTCAAAATACGAGACTAAAATACTCTTTAATTTAGAAAATACCTTTGAAAAAATACAGGGTATTACAATAGCAATATTGTGCATCTAGCTTTTCTCACCTAGGAATGATATAAACCCTTCATTTTTGAACTTCTTCACTTTTTCCTTGAAATGCTTTATCAGTGAAAAATAAGCTATTATCACTTAGGATTAACAATACATGACAGGTCCGCAGTAGGTAGGCTCAGTGACTTTGGATTTTTTGACTGCATAGAACAATTATATGGAGCTAATGTTGTTGGGTGTTTAGACCAGGTAGAGAACATTTATCTGGAACAATACACCATTATCACTTGTTAGGTGTTTAGTAAACTGTAATAGACATCTAGGAAGGAGAACATTGCTTCCTTTTACAATTGTTGTTTCGATTTGTTTTGTAGAATCTATATTTTTTGGTAAAATTGTTGGACACATGTAGGTACCTCATACTCAGAGTATTCAGAACATAGTACCTTACAGACCGCAGTGTGTGGGTGGCATTCAAATGCTGGATAAGGAAGGCTCAATTGGGTATTTCACTTCCGTCGGTGGTGGAGCTCAATAGTTCTACGGATCCTAAATTTCTCCTCAACATGGTTTCTATGCTCCGTATCCTCAATTTCCTAGGGGTCAGGTTCCTATTGGGATGTATGGATGGAAAATACCTTTTTTTTGAACTATTACATGGGTAGGTGATTTATAAAGCCCTTTTTGAACTATTACATGGGAAGGTGATTTTTAAATCCCTTTTTGTTGGTTTGTATGTCAAAGGTTCCAATATTGGTTGGTGTCTCTGTAAAAAAAAACAACTATTTAAAACAACTTCCATGAAGTTGAGTATGTAAACAGTACAACTAGCATAATATTTGTTCCATTGATTTAATCTAAGCTATTTACAATAACTTACATGACATTGAATATGTAAAGGGTACCACTAGCACAATATTTATTCCATTGATTTAATCTAAGCTATTTACAACAACTTACATGGCATTGAATAAGTAAAGGGTACCACTAGAACGAAATTTGTTCCACTGATTTAATCTAAGCTATTTACAACAACTTGCATGGCATTGAGTATGTAAACGGTACCACTAGAACAAAATTTGCTCCATTGATTTAATCTAAGTTATTTACAACAACTTACATGGCATTGAATATGTAAAGGGTACCACTAGAACAAAATTTGTTCAATAGATTTAATCTAAGCTATTTACAACAACTTACATGACATTGAGTATGTAAAGGGTACCACTGACAAATGACCTCCACTTGTAGAGGGTATCTCTATAGTTTACTAGGGTACCATTAACAATAAGTTGGTTTCCACTTAACCCTTGTAATGTACCACTGAGATGTTGTTATCCGAACATAATTGTTACTCACATTAAGACATTAATACTCACATAATTAACATAATATATGAGTAAATTTAGAAACCCACAACTTTTAATATATATGTAGCGGAATATTGTTGATAAACTGTTCTTCGTGTGCCTTTTTTTTTTTTTTAGATATATTTTGTAAATGTAGCTAAAGAATTGAAGTTTGTATTATGCATAAAAGTGAAAATTAAGTTTGGAATACTAACCACATGTCTCGGTTTGATCATTAAAGAAAAGAAAATTAGTACTTATTGTTGTTTAACTGTTGTGTAACTTTTTGTAACTCCTTAGAAGTGAAAATTAGTACAAGGTACAAGTCACATTAATCTATAATTGTACGCTTTAGGGTTTGGGGTTCAAGTATAGTATCACTTACATATAGTAGGGTACCACTGAAACAATGAAGGGTACCATTATTTATAATATACAACAGTGTTCCACTTGATCGCTTTAGGGTATCATTGAAACTATGTAGGGTACCACTATTAACAAGAATTCATTAGGGTACCACTCAAGTATTATAGGGTTCGATCCAATCAAGTTAGGGTACCATCTATACCTTCTAGGGTACCACTGTTAAGTTTTAAATTACCACTTGCATCTTTTAGGGTAGCAGTACTATAAAGTGGTACCACCAGGAAATTGTTTGCTACCACTCTTCTTTCAAAACGGTTTTGTGATTTAGTATTTATGATTACGTTTAACGTTATAATTTAGTAGGCGTAACATATGTATAATTAAGTATTTAGGGGTTAAGTTTTATTAATGTTACAATTCCTTACAATATACAACATTATTGGATAGTATGTCATAACCTCCTTATGTAGCCATTTCAAACAACATACGACACTCTTCCATGTGTATAGTGTAGCTAGGAAATTAAAGGTTGTACAAAGGAATTGTTAATGTTTGTCCAATTAATATATTGTGTTTGTGGATTTTGCATGCTAAAAGTCTTCCTTATGTCTTTATAAGTACAAGTATCATTAGATAGTCCTTATTTTGCATAGCTTCTGGTGTTCGTTTGACATTCCAAAAGGTACCGCTGAAAGGATTATTCTGTAACTAGATGTGGAGATTTGATGTCGGATCAAGTCAATTGTGAAAATTTCACTTTCAAATTGGTACCACTGCAGGATAGATTTACATAACTGAGTTTACCCAAGACAATTAAAGTTACGGTGGTAGGCCTATCTTATTCCATGGGCCATGGGCTTCGTCAGTACTCCACTATTTGCGGGAAAGTGAATTTTTTGACCAATTTTTTGCCACCTAAAATTCATTATAAATATATGTGTGGGTTGATCTCTTGCTCCACACACCATAATAGTAGGAGATTTGTAATTTTAACAAAATGTCTACTAATTCAAACGCAAGGTCGTTCAATGCAAAGGGTAGCCATTTCACTAACTCCGACAGCGGAATAATATGGGTGGCTGGTAAGAGGTGCAATTGTGGCGGCAACACCGTAGGCGGAGTTTCTGATTTCTCTGTCGGAAGCAAAACCGAGAAGGCCATACTACCGGTGCAGATCTTGCAACTTCTGGTAGTGGGCTAGAGATGAAGACCTTATCCGAACACCCAACGGGGCTGATGTTAGTTTTATTTGGCAAAGGTTGGTGGAGATAGAGACACTAGTTGCAAGATCTTTCAAAATTATTTTTACTATTAGTGTTATTATGTGTTTCTTGTATTTTAAGGGTTGAAAATGTTTGGAATAATTTTCAATCCTCTAGTTGTTGTTACTCTCTAGGAAAAACTCGTAATGCTTTGATCAACAGTATCAATTTATGAAATATGGTAGTATGATGCTATTAAACATTAATCCCTCTATTACTTATTCTTGTTTGCAAAACCAACCAGGAGAATAAATTTCTTTATGGTTAGCATAAAAACACAAATGTTTAGGGAATAAAGGAGAGCAACAAACAACCACCATAGTCCAGACAATAATAAATAATACGTCGTGCGGAATAAAACTCTAGTTAGAAAAAGGAGTTGACCATTTCCACGCTAGGAGTTAGGCCCCGTCGCAGTTGTCCTCATCATTCCCCCAGTTACGGTATTTAGCTCCAACCTGCGGGATCAAACAAAATTTATAGTGTGGATATTCAGGCTAATTTAGCACCAAAACAAAAGTTATAATTTATAGTGTGGAAATTTAGGGTAATCTAGGCTAAGATATAGTCTAGAAATTTAGGCTACTTTAGGCTTATTTATCAACAAAAATTTATAGTATGGCTAATTAAGGTGTAATTTGTATTTTATAATAAAGGATAGTTGTTACACAAATTATTTGTCCCCCTATTAGCTCTTTTAGCTACACAGTCACTAAGAAGTAAAGAAATTCATCATGTAGCACATATAATGATACAAAGTAGTATAATAATTAAATTAGCTAAACATTCGAATAATAGCTTGAAGATTACCAATTACCATTATTAATTATAACCTTTTGTATATTTGCACATGTAATTTGCTCAATTTATAGCTTTCTTAAGGCAGGGTTCGTGCATTACAGTAAAATAAGAAGCAAAGAGCTTTAATTGAGCTACAATCACCAAGACAATAGAAGAGAATAAGTAATTATACCTCAATAGCAACACCCAGTTGGTGACCGTAACCACGCATTCCCCTTTGATTAACCCACGGGTAGAAGTCAGTTTTGGCCCAAATAAGAAGAACACCGCTGTAGTCGTTGTAGGTTCCAAAAGCATCGACATGGTAAACTCTGTGGAGGCTTTGAATGAATCTACTCAACATCGTATTGTCAGCCCGAGTCTTGGTAATTATGACAACATCAGGGGAGAAAGCATTGAATAACTTATGAAATGTCTCTGAAAAAGATGGTCGATGAACACTCCGGGCATTCCAAACTATGAAAGTGCTTCAAATGGGGAAAGTTGCAGTTTGGGGGACGACATTGTCTTCATCCGCAGAGATGGACACACGATGGTAACGTATACTCTTTTGAGTAATACAAGCAAATACGTTGATGTCCACCATCTTGAAAGTATCATGGACCTCCATAACATGAATATCTGCACTTTTGTGAGAAAAGAAGAGGTGACTTTCTTGCAGGGGGAGGGTAAACACCTGCATAAATTCAATTTTGACAAATGGCTTCTGGTCGAACATTGGTACAAGATCTCATGGGATAAAGGTTTCATCATCTCCCCTATCATTTTCACATAGCCACTTAGCAAAGATACCCGTCCCTTTGCTTTAGTACCCTTCCAAATCAAAGAGCAGCGGGTAGTAAGCCGGGCTACTTTCATTGTCACCCACACCTCCATGACACTATTGCGCATGAAAGTGGTGGTGCGGTAATCAAGGGACTCAATTAGCTGGTCACGAAGCTCTTTCATCGGTATAGGGTCACACATGTGGCAATAGTCCACAGGATTGGCATAGTAAGGGGTGTTATTGAAATCAATCTCAGGATCTAAAGTGGCGATGAAAGGGAGGAAGTAAAACACTAGTTCGCTTGGGTGGGGTTGCATGCATAATCCCTCGACACTAACAAGGGGCCTGGGAGGTGGTGGTGATGGAGTTAATTCACAGTAGGCTGACATTTATTCACTAGTAGAAAAAATGTTATTTGTAACGCCTTGTTTGTAACCAACAATTTTTTATTAGTTACAAGTATTATATTTGTAACCAATATTAGCTAATGTTGGTTACAAATACATCCTATTTGTAATGGCCAACATAATGTTGGTTACAAATATATCCTATTTGTAACGGACAACATAATGTTAATTACAAATACATCCTATTTGTAACGGACAACATATAATTGGTTACAAATAGGAAGACTATTTTTCTATAACCGTCCAAAGCCCATTATTTTTCTTTCCCGAACCCTAAATACGACTACAGCCGCCCCCTTTCTTTATTTCTCATCTCTATTCTCTCTCCTCCTCCCTTCTTATCTTTCTCTTTCCTCTCAATTCTCTTTATCCTCCTCCCCTCTTTCACTCTTCCTTCGTTCCTCTTTCCTCTCGAATTTCTCTGTCCTCCTTCTTTCTCCATCATCTTTCCCTCAATTTCTTAGAAATTCATTCCTCCACGATAATCCTCAAGTCCACACCGCGTGCCACCCATGTACTGTTATCGTCAACAATCGAGCTTCATCATCAACCCACGAACATATATCCACCGTCAACAACCGTGCACA